ATAAAATATTTTAGGAACGAACTTTTCAATTTTAAATACAACCTTAGTCCTAAGAACATTTTTGGAAAAAATAATAATTATAACATGATAGATTTTCAAACAGTCAACTTAGGGATAGTTAGGTTTGAGAATTTATTAATGTTAATATTAATTTTTTAAAATAAATATAAATATGATTTTTCAATAATAAATTATTATAATCACGGTTTCTTCCACATAAAGATATTTAAATTGATCATGGGAATAAATAAATAATCCATACTTAATATAGTTTGATTGGGCCTAGTTTTCAAGCCCCAAGCCCAGAATTTAGTGAAGAATTTTGATTTTGGGCTTGGACTTTTTATAACAAAAATGCAGCCCATTTCAATTAACTTATTAGTCAACCATCTTTTAGGAAAAAAATAAGGGTCGATATAATGTTTGGTCCTCATAATATATGTTCATTTTGGTTTTGGCCCCTACACTTTCAAGTAATAGGTTTTGGTCTCTCAAGTTTTATTCCATTTATAACATTAGTCCCTGTAGTTTTATAAGAACCTAAACAGTGTTAAGTTTGCTGATGTGTTATTAACACCATTTATTCTACTGGCATGGCATGCTAACTAAGCAAGATGACTAATATGTTATTTTAATTATTTAAAAAAAGCCATAATCTTTTTCTCACCGTGCATCAACGTCATCATCAGAATTGCATTAAGCATTTCCTCTGCTAGCTCTAATGGCGTTCTCCCTTCCTCTCCTGGTTAAAACTCACTCCTTCGACGGTGCCCTCCACAGCTCAAGTTGTCAAACCTCCAATGAAGAAGAGGATTCAGTCTAGTCAAGGTGTCTCTGTCTAGCTCTTCCCATCCTTCTCTCCCTCCTCTTGATGAAGAAGATGATCCCCCGTGACTCCTCAACCCTCCTTCCTTGTTTCACTTATAAAAGGGGAAGCCAAAATAGAGAAGAGAGCAGACGTGGAAAACAATCGGTTACTTGGGGAGGAAAGGTGGAAAGGGGTGAAGAATGTCTATGCTTTGAAGAAATCACCATTGTTTTGAAATTATATGTTCATACGAGGCGTTTGTTGTGGGTTGGAGGCGAAGAGACTACAGAATTTGTTTGAAATTTATTAGCATTTTATATGAAATATATGTCACCTAGCTGGAAAAAAAAATCAATCAATTAGAAAGCCAAAATCACGTGGGACATAGATATCTTATCTAAGTCATCATTAATTTATGGGAGTAATATTATTGGGAAAAAATAAATAGAATTGAAGAATAAGAGGACCACAAAGTCCAATTGCTCTGTCATTGCAAAGATCTTTAGGCTTGCAACTTTCAGATTCATGGCTACGTTAATCTCTGTTTTTACAAAAAACAGAAGTGGCTCATGGAGCAAGTACTTGTCTTTCTAAATTTTGCCCTTTAAATTATTGATCATTTAGAGATTGAGTAATCAAGAATGTTCATGTTACATTACTAATCATCATAAAGATGCATATAAAAAGCCTGAAAGCAGATTTGATCTTGAACAAGACAGTGGAGGAGCACATTGTAGAATCAGAAAGTGATGAGGTAGAGATTATGTATGAGTTTGAGATTGAGCTAACACTTGGCCCCTTAAGTTATTACAACCGTACAAGAAAAAAGCGAGATGATGACAATGAATCAATGGTGCACAGTGAGAACACCCCATTACGCAAAGAAGATGATGGCTTTTTATATATGTATATATATAATTAAAATCACATATCCAGTCATCTTGCTTAGTCAGCATGCCATGTTAGTAGAATAAACGGTTTTAGTGACACATCAGCAAACTTAACACTGTTTAGGTCCTTATTAAACTGCAAGGACTAATGTTATAAACGAAATAAAACTTGAGGGACTAAAACCTATTGCTTGGAAGTGTAGGGACTAAAACCAAAATGAACATAAACTATAAGGACCAAACATTATATTAACCCAAAAAATAAATATTTACATTATAATAAAAGAATGACAAAATAGTACATTTATATTAAAAATTTAATAAAGTGACTTATAAATATGACTAAAAAAAATTCTCTCTGTACCTTATAAATAGAGCTAGATGAGTACATCTTAGAGAATCGATGGCAAAACCAAAATACATACTAGAGAATTACTCACTCTGCTCCTTATGAGTTTTAAATAACTAATTTACGGATAATAAATAATTAGTTAAAATTATTTTAAAATAATAAATAAATTTAAAATATAATTTTGTTTTTAAATATGCCCTTATAATAAATGAGAAAAAGGATAAAGAGAATACGTGGGGAAATATGAAATAGAGAAATAATTAAGAATAACATTAAAAAATATTAAATGTTAAGACAAACCCTAAATTGAAGCTTATAAAATAGATCACATTCCTTCATAAATTTGAAGCTTATAAATAGAAGCTTGAGAGTATTGTAAATGCAAATAATCCCATGTTATGAGGGTTCAGTTTCAAGATCAGAATTGATCAAATAAAAAATTAAACAATTCATATTTAATCTAATTTTTTTATCATTTAATATTTTTATATGTGTAAAGTCTAAAATAAAAACTATCTCCTAGCTGTCAGATCTTAAGAATTATTTTCTTGCTTAAAAACCATCCATTAACAATTTTAAATGTCGACCGTTATTGCAATGATTATCATAATATTGGTCATAAAATTGGTTCCTAGTACAAGCCATTTTGATAAAAGTTGTGGGCGGGTATTTGAGCCATCAAAAGGCCAATAACTTGGCTCCCAAATTAGCTTTTTTTTGTTCCGCTCAGTCTCTTTTTGTTTTCATTTTTAGCTTTTTGTTTTCAATAAGCGCCATCCCAAGTTGTGGATTTTCTTGCTTTAGTAAATTTATTTTCCTAGGAACAAGTCATGTGTCACCATAACTGGAGTAACACGTTCTAAACTTTATTAAATGATAAAATGTTTGCCTATTGCTTTCCTATCTCTCTACCTTAGCATGCTATTATTCGTAAACTAATCCTTCATGCTCTCTGAAATTGGCATCTCCAAACAACAGCTTGATAGGAGTCATTCCTATGACCTTGACTACTTCTAATTCACCGCAAGTCCTGTGGGTGTTTTTGCTAAACTTCAATGATTTTATGCACATGTAGAAATCAAGTTATATACATGTGGGCATATATATATAATGATGAACTGTAAGCTCATAGTCATTAATGAGCAGGAGCATATCAAAATTCTACTAACCACTCTATTCCACTTAATAGTTTTAGGCAATAGTGCTACTGGAGCTATTATTGCTGTAAATGTTTATTAATGGAAAAGGAGACAAAAAAGATTATTTCTTCGATGTTCTTGGTAATAAGCTGAATAATGGAAAAGATGCTATATATAATGATTAATGATTTATGTGACAACCATAATTGATTTACTAACATAACATTTTGCCTTTTTACTGACAGCTGATTTCAAGAGGGCCTTGAAACTCACTTTGGTCAACTTGAAAAGTTTTAAATTGCAAAAGATAAGTTTAGTAACAAAACATTATGGGTAGAGGTGGGTTTGGTGAGGTTGCTTCTAGATATACATTTCTTATAATTCAATTTTGATACCTTATTTAAACAGAATAAGACAAATATCAACTGCAACAAATTAAACATATGGCAGATTTCAAATATAGACTTTGAAGCAAGTCTTTAAAGGTTTCATTTGAGGTACAAAGCAAATACTAAGCCAAATCTCCAAGCTTTTTATTGCATTATTGGCATATCTTTATTCACTAAATGTTGGATTGAGATATTATTGAAAGGAATTGCTAATGGAAGGTTGGAAGATAAAAGCCTTTGAGACACCTGTTGCATTGATGGTCGAGATTTGGGAGATGGGTTCAAGCATGCTAATGCTATTGTGACCAAAAGAATTATATCTCTTGCATCTTTTTGTGATGACAAAGGGAGATGTGAGTCCAAAATATCCTTTAACAAAATGCTTGCTGTACAGGTCTTTGATAAAGATAATATCAAATCTCCAGGATGTCTTCCCATTATTGTTTCTAATGTCACCACCCCAAAACTATAAATATCGCATTTTTCAGTAACAGCTAAGGTGTATGCAAGCTCTGCAATGGGCCAAAAATTAAATAGTCATGTATTTATCCCAAGACAAGTAATATACTATAGAAATAAAATACAACATAGAAGGAGTAGTAGTAGAGAATTAGAAATGCTCACCTGGAGCAACATAACTATAAGTACCAACTAAAAGAGTTTGATTAGATGTATCTAGATCAATGATCCTAGCTGTGCCAAAGTCTGATAAAAAAGCTTCCATCTGTGAGTTCAACAATATATTATTGCTTGTTATGTCTCGGTAGATAATTGGAGGAGCACAGTGATGATGCATATACAACAAAACATTTGTTATTCCTTTGACAACATTCACTCTCTTACTCCAATTCAACTCTTTAGCTTCATCATCATCATTCAACACATAAAAAAGACTTCCTCTTTCCATGTATTCATAGATGAGAAACATACATTGATTATGCAAACAAAAACCATGAAGCTTTACAATGTTGCGATGTCGAATTTCACTCAACATCTTCACTTCATTGTGAAAACTCTTGGCCAAAAATGTGTTTCCATATTCTCTTTTATGGAGCTTTTTCAATGCTACGATTTTGCCACTTGGAAGTTGTGCCCTATAAACACTTCCATAAGCACCGGTTCCAATACAATATTTGATGTCAAAGTCCTCTGTCGCTTCAATGATGTCTTCATATGCAATTTTTCCATCATAATTCCATATGGAAAACAAATCCCCATTTTTTGCTTCTCTTGCCTTACTTATGGATTTCTTGTGCTTTTTGAATGATTCAAATAAGACGAAACCCACAACAAATGTGATGACAAGAAAAATTGTGAAAGGAATAATGATTTTCAGCAAAGACTTTAAGCCTTTATGTATCTTCTCTGGTCCAAGTAATTCTTTATTACCATTTAAAATGTCATGATGAAAAGAGCTATAAATTTCAGTTGGAACATAGCCGCTAAGAAGATTGTATGACAAGTTGATGTACTGTAGCCTACCAAATTCTCTGGGTATGCTACCAGAGATACTATTGTAGCTTAAATCAATGCTACATGATGGTGGTTCACTGCATATAATAGATGGTAATATTCCATTGAATTTGTTGTGACTAAAGTTAACATCAACATCTAAGTAGTTCAAAATGTCCGGTACGTTTCCACTCAGATTATTTTGGGAGACATTTATGTGAAAGCCAATATTGAAATTTCCTAATTTTTCTGGAATGCCGCCACTTAATTGATTTTGAGAAACATCAAAATCTTGTAAATATCTCAAATCGAAAATTGAAGAAGGGATGCCACCTGTAGTGAATAAATTTGAGTATAAATATAAGCTGTGGAGATTTGTCATAAAACCCAAAGTTTAAAGAATGACCCCAATGATTTTTTTGTTTCTACTCAAATCTAGTTATTCTAAATAAAGTTGGGAAGGTTGGAAGGTAGAACACCTGAAAGGTTATTGCAAAACAAGTCCAAATAATTGAGATTTTGAAGGTCTCCTATATGAGTTGGAATGATACCTGTCACCATTCCATGAAAATTTAAATACAATATTTTTTTTATATTATATGAGTTGGGAAAGGTGGAAGGTAGGGCACCTGTAAGGTTGTTGTAAGACAAGTCCAAATAATTGAGATTTTGAAGACCTCCTATATAAGTTGGAATGATACCTGTCACCATTCCATGAAAATTTAAATATAATATTTTTTTATATTATATGAGTTGGGAAAGGTGGAAGGTAAGGCACCTATAAGGTTGTTGCAAGACAAGTCCAAATAATTGAGATTTTGAAGACCTCCTATATATGTTGGAATGATACCTGTTACCATTTTATGAAAATTCAAATATAATATTTTTATAATGTAGTGAATAAATGTGTGCACAAATGTAAGCCTTTTATATTTGTCATAAACCCAGTGTTGAATGAACAACTCCAAGAGATTGTTTCTATTCAAATTGAGTAATCCTAAATAATTAAGGTTGGTAGAAGTAAGTAAAATTATTGCAAGACAAGTGTAAATATTGGATGAATGAATGAAAGGCTCCAATTTGAATTAAAGTTGTACCTGTTATCCCCATTCCAAAAAGATTTAAGTAATTTAGTCTTTCTAATTCAGTGAAGTTGAGATCTGCTATGGTCACTACGAGTTTCTAGTGATGCCTTTTGGATTAACAAACACCCAGTGGTGTTTATGGACTATATGAATAGAATTTTTAGGCCTTATTTAGATCAATTTGTTATAGTTTTCATTGATGATATCCTCATATACTCAAAAAGTGAGGAGGAGCATTGTAAACACCTTAGTATTGTATTACAAATATTAAGAGAGAACAAGTTGTATGCCAAGTTGAGTAAGTGTGAGTTTTGGTTAAATGAGGTAAAGTTTTTTGGTTATGTGGTATCTGTCGAAGGTATGGCCATGGATCCAAGTAAAGTAGAGGTGGTGTTAAAATGGAAAAATTCCAAGTCTATGATTAAAGTAAGAAGCTTTGTGGGGTTAGCCGGGTATTACTGACGTTTCATTAAAAGCTTTTCTCAGATAGCCATGACACTAACTAAGCTGATGAAGAAGGACAAACCTTTTGTATGGACAGAAAAGTGTGAAACTGCATTTCAAGAGTTGAAAATGAAGTTGACCACGGCAACTATCCTCACTATGCTTGAACCATCACTACCATATATGGTTTACACGGATGCATCTTTGAAAGGTTTGTGCAGTGTATTGATGCAAGATAATAAGGCAGTAGTTTATGCATCCAAACAATTGAGACCTCATGAGGAGAATTACCCCAACCATGACTTGGAACTGGCAGTAATTGTGTTTGCCTTAAAGATTTGGGGACATTATCTTTATGGTGTGTAGTTTGAGATTTTCAGTGACCATAAAAAGCTTAAAGTACCTGGTAGATCAGAAAAAGTCAAATAATCATCAGTGAAGATGGATGGAATTCTTAGCGGATTATGATTTTGAATTGAAGTACCATCCAGGGAAGGCTAATGTGGTGGCTGGTGCATCGAGTAATAAGACAGTTCATGTTTTCTATATGAGTGTGACAGAGCATCACTTACTAGAGGAGCTAACAGAAATACCAGTTATAGGTAAGATGATGGAGATGATTGTTACTCTAAATGCAGTACTTAGGGACTTTGACTTCTTTAAAGAGTTGAAGATAGCCAAATAAAGGATGATGAATTAATTAGGGTAACAGGAGAACTAGAAAATAGAGTTATATCACATTATGAAATTGGAGACGAAAGAATCTTAAGGTACAAGAAAAGAATTTGTGTTCTAGATAATGAAGAAATGAAAAAGACAATTCTTGAGGAGGCAATAGAACTAAGTACACCATTCACCTTGAATAACCAAGATGTACCATAATTTGAAGTTAGAGTATTGGTGGCCCAGGATGAAGTGTGATATGACTAATTTTGTACTCAAGGGTTTGACTTGTGAGAATGTCAAAATTGAACACCAAAAGCCATCAGGTTTAATCCAAAACTTGAAAATCCCTAAGTGGAAATAGGATAGCATTTTAATGGACTTTATCACTGGTTTGTCCAAAACTCTAATGGGTTATGATGCAATTTGGGTCATTGTAGATAGACTGACAAAGTCATCCTACTTTCTCCCAATCAACTCTACTTATTCTATGGAAAAACTCGCTTAATTGTATATAGATGAGATTGTGAGATTGCATAGGATACCAAAAGATATCATATCAGACCGAGATTCAAGGTTCAACTTGAACTTCTCTAAGGCAATGCAAGAAGCCTTTCGCACAAAGTTGAAGTTCAGTATGGTGTATCATTCCCAAACTGATAGTCAAATTGAGAGGACCATCCAAACTCTCGAGGATATGTTGACGGGTTGTGCCTTTTGAACTTTTGGGTAGTTGGGATCACCATCTTCCACTAACAGAATTCACCTATAATAATAGTTATCATGCGAGCATCTAGATGGCACCTTATGAAGCATTGTATGGAAGAAAGTGTAAATCATTGTTGTGTTGGACTGAATTGAGTAAAAGAACTATTGTTGGCCCTGACTTTATGGATGCAACCATAAAGAAAATTGAATTAATCAAATAGAGGTTGATGACCACTCAGAGTTGCTAGAAGAGTTATGTAGATCGATGGCGAAGGCCTTTGAAATTTGAAGTGGGTGACTATGTGTTTTTGAAAGTTTTACCAGTGACTGGTATTGGTAGATCTATCAAGGCCAAGAAGCTGACTCCTCGATATCTTGGACCTTATGAGATTTTAGAGCGAATTGGACTGGTCACTTATCGAATTGCTTTACCATCACATCTCTCTGATAAGCACAATGGCTTTCACGTGTCACAACTCAAGAAGTATCATCCAGATCCATCTCATGTAATCGAGACTGAGGAGATTGAGTTACAAGAGAATCTCACCTTTCGAGCTAAGCTCAAACATATTCTAGATGTCAAGGATAAGCAACTCCAGAATAAAGCAATCCGGTTACTTAAGGTTTTCTGGAAAGGCATGTCTCCTGGTGATGCCACTTAGGAAACCGAGGAGTGAATGCGGCATAATTATCCACATCTGTTTTCTTATGTGTTGATGTGCTAATTGTGTACTATCTTGTGTGTTGATAGTATGTGTATGGTGATATTATCTGTTTCTTTAGTGTTGTTGTGTTGCTATATTTCTTACATGTCATGAATTGTGAAGACAAAATTCTATTTAGATGGGGAGAGCTGTAACATCCTAAATGTTATTTTCGTATTAAAAAAAAGTATTATGATTTCAAAAAAATAATTACATCATATAAAATAATAATATTTTATTATTATAAATAATAATACTTTATTAAAAAAAGAGAGAAAGTTAAAAAAAAAAACACACATTTTCCACCAAATTCGGTGGAAAAGGTAAGAAAAGAAGAAGAAAAACGGGGGAGGTTAATAAATAATGAAAGAAAAATGGGATGAGACGGTTGAGTGGGAAGGATAAATAAGAGGAGGAAGTGTTAGGCAGAGAAAAGAAGAGAAAGAGAAAGAGAACGAGAATCAGAGAAAGAGAGGATGAGAGACAAGGAGAGAAACATTAACATTTTGAAGAGTAATACAAGCTTTGCAGATCATTTAGGTACATAAAAGTACTTCTTTTTATTAAATTTTCTTTTTGAATATTTTCTATATATTTAGAGCTTTATATTAGTAGTAGCATTATAATGTTTAGAAAAAATTTTGGGATTTAGGTATGAAGTATTGAGTTTTGACAATAGATAACCATAGAAATTTAGAGGTAAATATGTAGTTAATTTTAATTGGTTCAGGTTTGTCCATTTATTACTTTTGGTATTTGAAATCAAATTTATTTTGTTGAAAAATCTGTCATTTATGATATATATATATATATATATATCATATTTATACTAATTAAAATTAAGTTAAATAATTTATTTGGGTTGTTTGATATATTATTGAAATTTTAATCAGTTTATATTTATTCATTGATTGTTTTGAAAATTTTGCACTAAGATTTTAGTTGAAAATTGTATTATTTAAGGCATATAGGATGTTTTTAATGATTAAATTTAAGTTAAATAACTTATTTGGGTTATTTAATATATTATTAAGATTTTAATAGGTTTAAAATATGAAATAGATTAAGGATATATTATTGGAAAAAAATTTTAAGCTAGAAACTTAAGTTATAAATTGAAAATTTTACACAATTAAATAAAATCAATATTTATTTATAATTTAAATGAGTTATTTGGGTAGAGAAAAATTGTTATTTGAAGTAAGAATTTTTGGGTAGTGAATATGCATATACATATATTATTAATAATAAATCCTATGCAATTTAAGTTATTTATTTGTATGTATATTAAATTGTATCTACATTATTTGTAGATTATCTTGTATTTCGGAGTCTGTAATTTGTGCTTTTCTTTCTCAAGCTATGAGTTAAGCTTGGAGTAGAGGTAACCAGGGTTAATTTATTTTATATATGTTTTGGATTGTAAGGTGTTTACTATGCTTTTATTTTCTCAAATAAATTTGTGAAAGTATGTCTATGAATAAAGTATATATTTTTTTATGTGATAAATTTTGGTAAAGTGGGAAGTATGTCAATTTAATTACGCCTGAATTGTATTTTATTGGGAATTATGTTTTCTATGGTGCTGAATTTGATATACTAGTATTATATTATAAAATAAAATGAAAATATGTTGTACTTTGTTTGAAGCTATATCATCTTACTTTGCATAACTATGATGTTTTTAATATATATTTTGACTATGCATGGGGCTCATATGTAAAGATTGAGATTTTGTTATGTAGAGGATAATTGTTCTTGAAGCCCGCGTGGCATGCCTACACTACTGATCATAGTGTTTGGTTTTTTTTTGTTAGACCCCTGTAGTTCTTCATTTTTCTTGGCCCGAAGTTGAAAACGAGCTCTTGGGTAGATACCCCTTGCACCATAGTGCATTCTTGGGTGGTGTAGGTGCAGGAGGGAACCCATTGGTTGATGTGAGTGGGGTGATCTTTGGTTGAGTTACTCAGGACAAAAAGCCCATAATCTTTTTAAGGAGTCATAAGGAGGAATATGGTGATGGGAGGGCATATTTTATTGTGTTGTTGGATATGTGTACTTTTGCATGAATTTGGTTGTGGATGGTGAGATATACTCCTTTCATGTGGTTGTATTTATCAAAGCATCATTTATTACTTAAATTATATTTAAGCACTACTTCATCAACTTACTATCCTACTTATATATGTGACAAATTAATACTCTGTTACTGAAACTTTATGCCTCACCCCATTATTCATCAATACTTTTTAGGAGAGCCATCTAGTTTGACTCTGCATAAAGGGAAGCAACTAGAGGCATAGGCAAGCACAACCTAGTATTTCTCTTTTGGTTTGGGCATGTAAAGTTATATATATTGTCATCTTATGGCCCATGATTTTGTTGATATATACTTTCCTTGGTTTGGTTGTTGGATAACTGTATTTGATGGACTGCTATTAGAATGGTTGGAGGCCATAAGACTCTATTGTATGTGTTACTATTATGTGTACGACTTGTGGGTTGGGTTGAGCACCTTGTGTTTCTTGTGCCCTAAGTCTTAGTGGGGTGAATTTTTGTGTTGGGTTTGTGGGCGGTTACTGCGCCTTGAGTCCTTCTTGTGCGTGTTGTTAAATTCATGAGTGTTTTATGTACATTGAGTCTCTTGAAGAGCTTGAAGAGCTCCTATTTGTGACGGAATATTCCTTGTCAACAGAGGTATTGGGTTGTAGAGAGATAAATGCAATATTTCAAAATTTAGTGAATTTGCTAGAGTAAAAATGGAAGATACATAACTCACCAGTAAGATTGTTGCAAGACAAGTCCAAATAAGTGAGATTTTGAAGAGCTCTTATTTGGAATGGAATAATCCCTGTCAATAGAGGTATTGGGTTGTGTGGAGGTAAATACAATATACCAAAATTTAGTGACTTTGCAAGCTAAGAGCAAAAATGGAAGATATATAACTCATAAGTAAGATAGTTAAAAGATAAGTATAGATGAATCAGATTATAAAGAGATCCTATTTGTGATGGAATGATTCCTGTCAATAAAAGTATTCGGTTGCATGGAGATAAATACAATATTTCTAAATTGAGTGAATTTGCAAGAGTAGAAATGGAAGATACATAACTCACCAGTAAGATTATTAAAAGCCAAGTTTAAATTAGTGAGATTTTGAAGAGCTCCTATTTGTGATGGAATAATCCCTGTGAATAGAGGTATTAGGTTGTGTGGAAGTAAATACAATATTTCCAAATTTAGTGAATTTGCAAGCTAAGAGCAGAAATGGAAGATATGTAAATCACCAGTAAGACTATTATTACGCAAGTATAGTACAGTCAGATTATGAAGAGATTCTATCTGTGATGGAATGATCCCTATCAATAGAGGTATTAGGTTGTGTGAAGGTAAATAAAATATTCTAAAATTTAGTGAATTATCAAGGTAAGAGTAGAAATGGAATATATATAACTCGCTAGTAAGACTGTTAGAAGACAAGCTCAGATAAGTGAGATTTTGGAGAGCTCCTATTTGTGATTGAGTAATCCCTCTCAATAGAGATATTATATTGTGGGAAGATAAATACAATATTCCAAAATTTAGAGAATTTGCAAGAGTAAACATGGAAGATATGTAACTAATGAGCAAGTCCAGAAAATTGAGATTTTGAAGAACTCCTATTTGGCATGGAATAATCCCTGTCAATAAAGGTATGAGGTTGTGTAGGGGTAAATATAATATTTTCAAATTGAATGAATTTACAAGGTAAGAGTTGAAATGAACGATATATAACTTATAAGTAAGATAGTTAGAAGATAAGTATAGATGAATTAGATTATGGAGAGATCCTATTTGTGATAAGATGATCCCTGTCAATAAAAGTATTAGGTTATGTGGAGATAGATACTATCATACCTTACTTATATAGTACCTTAGCATTCATTTAGAATCATTCCAGACCATATTGGATGGTCTTACACTTAAAAATTTCAATTTGGACGTTAATTTTTGGAAAATTACTGTTCACTGTCTAGTTTTCAAATTATAGGTCCAACTTTAAAAAATCATAACTAATTCTAGAAAAATCGTATGGAGGTGTTCCAAAATTCTATGGAAATCTCTTTCAATACTATTTAAGGGAAAAACATTCAAATGAAACTCATCCTCACTGAAAATGTATAGTTTATTGGATTAAGATTACTATTCGTTTGGTAAAATCTGGACTTTCCAGATTCTGCGCCTTAACTTTGAAAATTCATATCTCTTTGTATACACATCCAAATGAGGTGAATTACCACTCATTTTAAATATTGGGATGTGTACTATAATTATACCAAATTTCGTAGCTTAACTCATTCATATGATAGGTCAAACTGAAGCTTGAAACTAACTACTTCATGACCTACGTTTTATCCCTTAACATCTCTTTACTTTAATTCTTTTTATTTCTTTGGCATACCTAACATGGGCTTCCTTTTTCCCATTCATGCTCATACATTCCTATACACACCATAAGCTTTATAATTAAATGCATGGCATTCACAACATAAGTCATAACATAGGAGAATTATACATTGAATAATAATATCAATCATTAGCATCAATAACTCTCCACTTCTTCTCCTTGCTTTTCATGCCATTAGTGCCCACCATTGATTGACCTAAATGGTTGGTTAGGGGGGGTGAGATTCGGGGGAATCTCAGTAGCAAACAATACCATATTAATTATGCTAAATGGATGCTCATGCACTACACGCAACTTGTTTATTCTCTTGTTAATTAGTGACATACTAGCATGCTCAAAGCTAACTTCTTGATGCATGGCCATGGAGACATAATCTACTCATCATGAATAGCAATTACAACAGCTAAAACATGTCACAATAACATTCAATAACATGTACACGGCAACACACAAGCATACCACATCAAGCAATGACAATAGGTAAGTTCACTACCTTGCACCTCAAGCTTTCCTTTCACTTTTTCTTTGACTCCCTTGACTTTCCAACCATGGTAGCTTTCGCTCAACATCATCAAACATCCTCTTAGATGTTCCAAGATCCTAAACATAATCACATTGGTCACACAACCCATTAGGACCAAGCGATTATATAAAGTTCAAGACTAGCTTTCTTGGACCTCAACCCTTTCTCTTAGTCTTAGGGTTTTCTTTCTAGCTTTTCTAATATAAATCTTATCATTTCCCATCCTTAAGATCCATTTCTTGTCAATTAGGATAACTTTAAATGGCCTTATATTCAAGAAGATCAAATCTGGAAATTTTGGTATGCAGGTACTGTTCACGCAGAATCTCTAGAATATTTTGCTCAACTTTGAAAATTCATAATTAAATATAGAAAAATCCAAATTGAGTGATTCCAAATCTCACTGAAAGGTACTTAAGTTAAATTTAAAGGAAAAATAGTTTCAGGAACCAATTCTACGCTGAACAGCACCGAAATTGTACGGAATTCAACACTCTTCTAAAAGTTCAGCACTGTTTCCAGATTTCAATCTCTAAATTTGAAAAATCACCATAAATCGTACACATATCCAAATGGAGTGTTCTACCCATGGATATAAAGCTCACAGAGTGTACTTTAAGCATGAAAAATTTGAGAATCAGATATGCACAGTAACTAATTCGAAATAGGCATCAAATCAGCACGTAATTCTTCCAATTTCCACATAGATCCACTTGATATAACCTTTAATCCATGTGTTTTAGCTAGATCTAACATCAAAATCATCCTCCCCTAAGCCTATGTCAATTCGGCCAGCACCTCCTCTTAGGGGATCTCACATTTTTCAACCATAAAACCAAAGATTCAAAGCAATAAACAAGAGGAAACAACTTACTAACCTCAGATCTAAACTCGATTGATCAAAGTAGGTGTCTTCCTCTTGATTTAAGCTTCAAGAATCAAAATTGCAAGAGTTTCCCCTTATGTTCATCAGCTTGGCCGAAATGGGGTGAGGGAGAGTGCCTATTTATAGCCAAAAAGTTGGCTTGAATGAACCAAAATGCCCTTGGTAGCTAGAAGAAGGAGTAAGGGCAATTTTGGAAGTTCAAGTAGACTTTTGCATCATCATTGCATCACCTTATTACATCATGCTTACCTAATTCTTCTAGAAAGTGCCAAGTGTCATAAAAGTGGTGGAGGAAAAGGGAGATCAAATCCTAGCCATTGGATCAAACTTGTTTCATAAGCTTCCTCCGACTTTACTTGGTCCACGTTTCTCCAGCTTTCTTTATGGCCTTCCAGAGTTCAGAAAATTTTTCTGTCTACTCCATAAATTCCCCTTCATTCTAGAGAATATCTATGAATTTTCTCAGGCCATAACACTTCCTTTAAGCCTTGTATAAAAATTGTTTACTAAAATACCCTTTTATCGGCAAAACCGGCTCTTTAATTTATTAAAGCCATTCCACTGGCCTTTTCGTTACGGGACTAATTTTATAAATTAGTACAACCTTCCAACCATTTAATCTCATTTTTGTATACATTTTTGAGGTCTCTTGCTATTTTAAATAATTACCTCAAATGGTATACTTTTTACTGACCATAACCTCATAAATTCCATTTAAGCTGCCTCAGGGGTATTTTTGTCATTTCTCTTCACAGAAGAGTCTTAGAATATTATTTTCCTTTTTTTTTTTGGGATTTTCTTGGAATTCTCTGTGTACTCTTCCATTTTTATCCCTGTTGGTTATAACTTTCGGAATTTACAGTTTAGTCCCTGGTTGGACTTAACTTCACATAATCCTTTCTTTGAGGCTTCTAACTCAACCTTTGGCCTATATCTAGTCTTTTTCTCTCTCTCTAGGCCTTCGAGACTTTACTGGAGTCTTTGACCTTTATTATACTGAAACCCCTAAAAAACTTTTACTTTGCAGTTTAGTCCCTGAAACTGCTTTGACTTCCTTTCTCATCTTTGTGACTTCTGCTAAAAAGGGGTCTGGTAGCCTATCCAATTCAGGCTACTTTTGATACTTCTAAGCCCAAAAGTCTAGATGTTACAGATACAATTTTTCCAAATTGAGTGAATTTGCAAGAGTAGAAATGGAGGATATATAACTCACCAGTAAGACTGTTATAAGACAAGTGCAGACAAATCAGATTATGAAGAGATATTATCTGTGATGGAATGATCCCTGTCAATAAAAGTATTAGGTTGTGTGAAGATAAATACAATATTCTAAAATTTAGTGAATTTGCAAGATAAGAGTAGAAATGAAAGATATATAACTTACCAATAAGACTATTAAAAGACAAGACCAGATAAGTGAGATTTTGAAGAGTTCCTATTTGTGATGGAATAACCCCTGTTAATAGAGGTATTCAGTTGTGTAGAGGTTAAAATATTTCAAAATTTAGTGAATTTGCACGGTAAGAGTAGAAATGGAATATATATAACTCACCAGTAAGACTGTTAGAAGAGAAGTCCAGATAATTGAGATTTTGAAGAACTCCTATTTGTGATGGAATAATCCCTGTCAATAGAGGTATTAGGTTGTGGGGAGATAAGTACAATATTTCAAAATTTAGTGAATTTGCAAGGTAAGAGTAGAAATGGAAGATATATAACTCACCAGTAAGACTGTTAGAAGAAAAGTCTAAATAATTGAGATTTTGAAGAGCTCCTATTTGTGATGGAATAATCCTGTCAATAGAGGTATTAGGTTGTGAGGAGATAAGTGTAATATTTCAAAATTTAGTAAATTTGCAAGGTAAGAGTAGAAATGGAAGATATCTAACTCACCGGTAAGATTGTTAAAGGACAAGTCCAGATAAGTGAGATTTTGAAGAGCTCCTATTTGGGATGGAATAATCCCTGTCAATAGAGGTATTAGGTTGTGTAGAGGTAAATACAATATTTCAAAATTTTATGAATTTACAAGCTAAGAGCAGAAATGGAAGATATATAACTCAACAGTAAGACTGTCATAAGGCAAGTATAGTTCAATCAGATTATAAAGAGATCTTATATGTGATGGAATGATCCCTGTCAATAGAGGTATTAGGTTGTGTGGAGGTAAATAAAATATTTCAAAATTTAATGAATTTGCAAGGTAATAGTAGAAATGGAAGATATATAACTCATAAGTAAGATTATTAGAAGGTAAGTATAAATGAGTCAAATTATGAAGAGATCCTATCTGTGATGGAATGATCTCTATCAATAAAAGTATTACGTTGTGTGGAAATAAATATAATATTTCAAAATTGAATGAATTTGCAAGAGTAGAAATGAAAGATATCTAACTCAACAGTAAGACTATTAGAAGACAAGTCTAAATAAGTAAGATTTTGAAGAGCTTCTATTTGTGATGGAATAATCCTTGTCAATAGAAGTATTAGGTTGTGTGGTGGTAAATATAATATTTTTGAATTAATTAAATTTGGATTGTATAGAAGATACAACTTACCAGTAAGACTGTTAAGAGATAAGTTTAGAAGGATAAGTTTATGAAGGGATCATATCTGGCTTGGAATGGTATCCTTCAAACCCATTCCAGAAAATATGAGACATTCTAGATTGGAAAATGCAGTGAAATTGAAATATGCTAAATGATGGTATTGTGTAGTCATTAGTTGATAATTCATGTCAACAAGGCTTCCAAAATCATTGCAAGATATGCCTTCCCAGTGACAAGGGTCTGACAAGTTGTGTATACTGTTGCTGGAATTCCACCATTTGGTCTGAAGCAGAGCATGTTTCTCCTCTTCTATCATGGCAATTGATGCTACACCATTAATAGGAAAGCAAGTTATTACAACAAAGCATAATAAAAATACCACTCTCATTGCACCCATCTTTAGTTCCTTTGTCTACACAAAGCGTGAAGGGAATTGAAAAACGACGCGCAGCGGAAACAACTCGAAATTTTAAAACTTTCATTCCCTTTCCCGGATCTACCGATCGCGTTTAAGTCAGGTAGTAAGAAGCATTACCTTTAGGCGTTCGATTCCCTGGTGACTTGATGATTCGGCCGTTCAGGATGCTTCTGCTCGCCTCCTTTGTCGTTCGAAGTCGACAACTCCGGTCGGCTTCCTCTACCGGTATCCACACGAGTAGCCCTCAACCTCGAACGGCGTGCTAGCGCCTATGTCCGTCTAGGGTTTTAGGAATCCGTCCTCTCTCCTCTCTTAGGCCGTCACTTATCTGTTGGTTCTCTCTTCCTCAAACCCTAGCTCCTCATATCAAATATATAGGATGCTATATAGGTTTAATTAATAATATTTAATTTCGAAATTAACTCTAAATTAATTCCGAAATTAATACAATATCAAATATTGCCTAATCAGATAAGAGAACAATTAAATAAATATGGTTTAAATTAAATCCGTCTCACAGATTTAATTCACCTGGTAGCTATATAGGTTTAATTAATAATATTTAATTTCAAAATTAACTCTAAATTAATTCCGAAATTAATACAATATCAAATATTGCCTAATCAGATAAGAGAACAATTAAATAAATATGGTTTAAATTAAATCCGTCTCACAGATTTAATTCACCTATTTATTTAATAAAGAGATGACGGAATATATTTAATTTATCCTTATAAATTAAATCTAACAATTTATATATATATATATATATATATACGTCCACCCTATATTATTCATTGAATCTGGACATATCTTAGATTCAATGAATCTGGATATCATAACTCGTGTCGGGCTATTTTGTGTGCGACCCTGTAGGCCCATATGAAGTTGGCAGTGGGCCATTAACTATAATGACTCACAAGTCGTAAGCGGTCTCTAGCAAGACATCACGACTACCCAAATCATATGAGGATCATTGAACGATGCAACCTTTCATACAACCATATCACGTCCCTTTTGTCTCACGACATTTTGGTCATGGATGAGGCATGGAGAACGTCATCCTCCTATCCATGACCGTTACTTTCTCGATCCCTGAGTAGTCTGAGTATAGAAATGGAACTACCTTTCCATTATAGTATGGCCATACATTTCTCAGACTCACTCATCGAGGGGCCCAGTAATGTCTCTCTACGAATGTGAGGGACAAATTCCATCTTGACCATTCACATTCCTACGCATGAAAAACCACTAAGCCTGAACATAGTCTTTATGATCACTTGGTCAAAAGTGACTTTTGACTAGGTCAAAGCTAAGCGTTTCTCATGTATGAATCCATGATGATCTCAGGTCAAAGGGCACAGTGACATGGTTTGTATATGAGAGAAGCTTATGACTTACCCCATGCAGCTCTCTCATAGCGGGTCGGTCCAACACCTTGTACTCTTACATGTGCCTATGACTTTAATTTATATCTCTATATATCTTTAAAGTCATACTGGTCTTATTTCATCTTTGCTCCCACATAGATGACCGACCAGGGACATTTAGGATAAACCATGAGTTATCCAAGGATAGTTACCACAGAAAACATGCAAATAATATGATAACGTAATCAATAAATTCATAAATTAACAATGTTCAAAACATAATGATTGGCCCCTAGGGCACAATTTCCAACAAAGCGATCATGAAATGAGTGCATCCATAGAGTCTTTATATATAGAGCAATATTATTGAATCTCCCTTCTGTGTGTCAAAGTCATTGGAGTGTGTAGGTCCAACGGCAAATGGACTAATCATATCATGTGAGATTGCCTCAGTTGTTAATTAATGGTCTTAGTCAATATTAAAGTCTTTAGTCTTTGGAGTTATTATAGTGAAAATGGGCATGAAATTGCCAAACAAGAGATGATGAACACCACAGCATAGTGGTTTGATGGAACTCCGAATTAAAGAACCCATTATTTTTAACTTTTAGGATTATATTTTGAAGGACAAATCAAATCATGGAAATATACCTTTTCTTACCACTAGTTGCTCTGAAACAGAGCATGTTTCTCCTCTGCTATCATGGAGGTGGCCATATTATTGAAGAAAGTAATGGCAGGGCATAGTCATAAAATCACCATTACTATCACAGCGCTTATTGTTGGAGTAGTCAACATAATTTTGGAGAATGCCACTGATTCATGCAACGTGATCACCAAGTGAGTGCAAAGGCTGAGTCTTTATAGAAGCATAAATTTATTTTTCTTAAAAACAAAATTATAACTTCTGAGTGACCTATAAAGAAACGTGTTAACTAACTTTGACTATTAAAAATAAAAAAAACAGAAAGTAAATAAAATAAAAGCTTGCTTGATTTTATACTCAACTTTTATGTTTTTACAACTACCTTTGAGAATAAGTTTTGAATGCCAAAAATAAATTAAAAAAATGTTAGAATCATTATTTCAAAAACCATACGTAAAATGGTGAAATGAAGGGTCAAAACTAGTTTGTTTTATTAACCTGATATAATTAACAGAAATATAATATTCTGCGTCTCTTCCCTAATTTTGTAAAACAAAAGGCAGAAAAATTTAAAAAAAATGTTTTGATTTTTTTTTTTTTTTTTAAGAACAAATTTTGATTTTGTTACGGAAAGCTTAATAAAAATGCCACTATGACGCCTATCTTTTATTTAATTTCCTTCCACAAAGTGATGATTACAAAATGAGTGCAGTCTCAGAGTCTTTACATGGAGAAATATTGAAATGACAGAGTTCAAAGACTTGTTACTCTTTTGTATTGTTATGTGATCTCTATTTCTCTTTTGCAATGAAAGTTATGCGCACTTCATTATTCACTCTGGTTATTAACTGATAGGGTATTTATTAGTATTATGATCATCATATTTAAATTATTCACATCATAAATTGTAAAATGACTTTTAGATATTATTTATCACACTTTTGTTTTACTCAAAATATGTACATTTTTTTATCATAAAAATGGGGCTAAAGGTTAAAAACACTTATGAAAATATACCCAAACTTTACTTAACACTATGAACTTTCTTTGTGATCAAGTCTACCAATCCAAGTTTAAAAAAGAGATTAATAATGTCAGCGTCATTAAAATTAACAAACATCAGTTTTTTTGGTTGTGGGACCCACATTTTTTAAAATAAAAATACCAAAATACCCTCAATTAAAACGGAAAAAAATTAAGAGTTACATGAACTTATACTCAAAGTTGACCAAACACCATATAATATTTATAAAAGTATCAAAATACACCCAATCTTGAAGGGCTATTGTATTAGAGTGTGTTAAAGATTATTAATTATAACAAAATTTTTATAATTAAAATAAATAATATGAAAAAAGTTTAAGCTTGAATTGCATTGCTCTACAATGTTAAGTTATTTATATCCCCAATCTTTTTTTTGAGCAGACATTATGGATATCTTTTGAAAATAAGTTACTTATATCAACGATACATGGAGCTGTATGTTTATTCTCTAGTCTATGTTATCAAATTTAACAGTCAACCTGAAATTTCTTTTATGTTTATGTTTAAATTCTTTGAGAAAATTTAAGGCTATTTTTAGTAGTTACAAAAATATTTAATTATTATGTATAATATTTATGCTATTAGAATATTTTCAACCATAAATGAATATAATAACTATAAAAATAGGCTAGTTTTTATTGACAAAAATTGGCTAATAAAAAATTTATTGAAAAAGATTAATAATCTTTTTTAATTATAAAGATTGGTGATATAAAAATTTATTATACTTAATAATCTCTAATACACTCTAATGCAATAACCTTTTGAAATTGGTGGTATTTTGGTATTTTTATTAAAAATCATATGGTGTTTGATGAAGTTTATGGGTATTTTTGACCCTTGACTTTTTTTTGGTTTAATTAGGGGTATTTTGATACTTTCACTAAAAAAAAAATCATTGGTCCCATTGCTAAAAAAGGGACGTTTGTTAATTTT